GAAGAAGAAGAAGAAGAAGAAGAAGAAGAAGAAGAAGAAGAAGAAGAAGAAGAAGAAGAAGAAGAAGAAGAAGAAGAAGAAGAAGAAGAAGAGAAAAAGAAGAAGAAGAAGAAGAAAGAAGAAGAAGAAGAAGAAGAAGAAGAAGAAGAAGAAGAAGAAGAAGAAGAAGAAGAAGAAGAAGAAGAAGAAGAGAAGAAGAAGAAGAGAAGAAGAAGAAGAAGAAGAAGAAGAAGAAGAAGAAGAAGAAGAAGAAGAAGAAGAAGAAGAAGAAGAAGAAGAAGAAGAAGAAGAAGAAGAAAAAGAAGAAGAAGAAAATAAGAAGAAGAAGAAGAATAAAATAAGAAGAAGAAGAAGAAGAAAGAGAAGAAGAAATAGAAGAAGAAGAAGAAAAAGAAGAAGAAGAAGAAGAAGAAGAAGAAGAAGAAGAAGAAGAAGAAGAAGAAGAAGAAGAAGAAGAAGAAGAAGAAGAAGAAGAAGAAGAAGAAGAAGAAGAAGAAGAAGAAGAAGAAGAAGAAGAAGAAGAAGAAGAAGAAGAAGAAGAAGAAAAAGAAGAAGAAGAAGAAGAAGAAGAAGAAGAAGAAGAAGAAGAAGAAGAAGAAGAAGACGAGAAGAAGAAGAAGAAGAAAGAAGAAGAAGAAGAAGAAGAAGAAGAAGAAGAAGAAGAAGAAGAAGAAGAAGAAGAAGAAAGAAGAAGAAGAAAGAAAAAGCCGCAAGAAGAAGAAGAAGAAGAAGAAGAAGAAGAAGAAGAAGAAGAAGAAGAAGAAGAAGAAGAAGAAGAAGAAGAAGAAGAAGAAGAAGAAGAAGAAGAAGAAGGAGAAGAACAAGAAGAAGAACAAGAACAAGAGAAAAAGAAAAAAGAAGAAAAAAAAGAAGAAGAAGCCGCACCCACCTTAGTAGCAGCTAACATTGCTTGCGTTGCTATGAGAGCATTTGTAAACTATTCTTTAATAACAGAGAGAATCCTCATTCGTGTATCACAGAACAAATACAGCATCATTGTATCATAAAGATAACCACTATTCCTATAACATAAAGATAGATTCAATTCTAGTATCACAGACATAATAGAAATAATCCTAATTCTTGTATCGCATTAATAACTACCATTCTTGTTTAATAAAATGACCACTATACTTATAACACAAACCTAATTCCTTTTTTTTATCACAGAGATATCCACCGTACTTGTATCACATAGATATCCACCGTACTTGTAGCACAGAGATATACACAGTACTTGTAGCACAGAGATATCCACCGTACTTGTCTCACAGAGATATCCACCGTACTTGTATTTCACAAATAATCGCCATTCTTTTATCTCACAGATAACACCATTCTTGTATGCCATAGATTGCATAGATAATGACCATTCTTGCATTACATAGATAACTATTGTTCTTGTCTCACATAGGTAATCCGCATTTTTGTATCACATAGATAATTTCTAATCTTGGATCACTGAGATACCCACTACTCCTGTAACATAAAGATAATACCCATTCTTGTTTCACAGAGATAACCAACATTCTTGTATCACTGAGATAACACCGTTCTTATATCACAAAAATAACCATTAGTCTTGTTTCACAGAAATTATCCTCCTTTTTGTATCATAGAGATAACCATCATTCTTGTATCACAGAGATAATACCATTCTTGTTTTGTATAAGTAATCTGCATTCTTGTATCACATAGATTATAGATAATCCCCATTACGCTTTCACAGAGGTAATAGAATTCTCGTATCACAGAGATAAACCTCCTTCTTGTATCATAGAGATAACCACTATTCTTGTATCACAGAGGTAACACCATATTGGTTTCGTATAGGTAATTCGCATTATTGTATCACAGAGATAATCCCCTTTCTTGTTTCATAGGAGTAACAACAATTCTTGTATCACAGAAATAACTACCATTCTTGTTACGGAGAGATACCCACCAGTTTTGTATTACAGAAAACCACTATTCTTGTATCACAGACCTCCATCTTTTACACAGCTAATTTCCCGTAAATATCACTACCACTATGTCTTACCTGAGGTAGCTAGCAATAATGTTTTCAGGGCTCACCAACCACCCCTCCCCCTTTTTTGTTTTCAGGGCTCACCAACCACCCCTCCCCCTTTTTTCCAGCCCCCCCCACCCCCCACCCCCCACCAACAACTTTTTTTTCTAAGTTTGTGCCTAGAATATTTGTAAGGCAGGAGCTGGGTATAGGGAGTGTTTTTTGTTTCGTGGTCGGCTCCTCTGCTATAAAATTTGTTTAACAAAAATACCTAAATTTTATGTTTTACATAGGTTATTATCATATTTGAACTTCAGAAACATTAATTTCAGTACACATTGTTTTTGTAGTTTGTACTGCTTTAATAATTTAGTCTGTGAATAACAGGAGCGACAGATTCCTGGTTGGGTTTTCAAAACCTATGTACACATCGTTTTCCTTAAAGATACCTTTGACGTGGTATAATACAAATATCGGTTTACTACCTAGCCTGGCAATATAATTTTGAACTCTGAAAATAATATACATCTGCAAGAAAACTATGGACATAATTTTAAAAAGAAA